AACGGGCTAGCGCACGTAAATTTTAATACTTTTCCAAAATATTTTGGGGGAAGTCTTAAAATATGTACGATAAGTTTTACAATTCCGGTGGAAAACCGCATATGTTTTTGTTTTTTTGTGATGCACTCTAATGTATGTACATTGCGGTGGTCCAAAAATCCGAGTAAAAAAGTGAAAGTCGAAATTTTAATGCACTCACCACTAGGATTGTTCTAAATATACAAAAAAAAAACTATACCCTTCTTTTTTTAATTTGACATCAAAAAATATTTAGAGGTCGCTCAAAACGCTCAAAGTTATCTATGCAATTTATATGGGAAAAAATATGTTTCGTGTAAATGGTATAGAATTCTTTAAAATCAATATTTTTCGATCAGAAAACTCCCTTTCTCTTCAGGAAACTTCGAATAACAATACCATATCGTTTATTTAAACATTTTTTAATAGTAACTATTGGTTACAGGATCTCTAAAGACCCCAAAAATTCAATAGGGGGACTCATAAAAAATCGAAACAGAATTTTCTGATAGAAAAATATTAATATTCAAGAATTCTATACCCTTTCTATGAAAAGGTTTTTTCTCTCCTATAAAATATATGCAACCAATAAATAAATTTTTAATTAAAACTAAAAACGGGTATATGTACTTTTTTAGGTACAGAACAATCTAAGGGGGTGAGAGCATTAAAATTCCGACTTTACTTTTGGTGGACCATCCTAATGTGCATACGAGTATAATACCATGGAAAATTATCTACTGCATGCCTTTTATGAGCCTTGTATTTCTACTACATAACATTTTGAAAAAATTCTGATGAGTTTGCTGCAGATTCAGTTACATGCTTGCAAGAATTACTTAGAAGATCGAATAAAATTTAATGCTAGATTCAGAAGAAATGCGGGTCTTCTTTGAAACTTCGCTTTAATGTACAAATTTTGTAAGTACCTTCACTTTTCAAATACTAGTTGGGGTTTCGGGGAAGGCGTCAACTTATGGTCATTTGGCTCCTAACTTTCATTCTGAATATGCTCGTAACTGTAGATGTTGAATCTGCCTGTTTACATGTATAGAACACATACGGCGGCCGCTTTAGCCGAGTGGTTA